CGGTTGACCATGAGCTTTGGACGGTCGACCGCCAGTCGGGTCAGGCCCAGGTTGAGTTGTTTCCTGTTCTGAATTGGTTTGGTGTTTGGTATAAATACCAACACGTTTTAGGGTTTCTTTGGCACAATCAATGGGATATTTTGAGCACGGAAAAGAGAGATCTTTCTGAGCTATTAGTTAGAGTTATTGTTTGTGAGATTGAGAGTTTTGTTTGTGAGATTAGTTGGTTTGTTTTGAATGATTTGTAATCTCAGTTTGTACTCTCCTTCTCTATTAGTGAAAACTCATCTCATTCTTGCCCCGTGGACGTAGGCAACTTGCCGAACCACGTAAAAATTGGTTGTTTGTGCTATTATTTTGCATTGTTTGGCCTTCTCTCTTGGCGTTTGGTTTGGTTCCTCGAAGCACAACGATTCATGGCTTCCGCGCACAACAGATGCTACTCTATTTGGGGATTACAGCAAGGCGCAAAAAGCCCTAGAGTGAATTCAAATTGGACCCAACGCTTGTAATAAAATTACCAGTGATACCATTAGGAACATGGCTTTCTGCTGCCCTAAGATCTAGCTGCTAAGGCTCTCTGTTGTGAGAGAAATTGGCAAAAAAGCTATTAGGGCTTTTACAAGACATTGTAACGTTTTGGAGGAAATGTTTGTTTACTGATTGCTTGAATATTGATGAAACCGCATTTGGAAAGGTTATGTCACTTATATTTTTATTGGTTGTGGGATCTAGGAAACATAAAATGAGCTTCTACTGCACTTTCTTAGAGCTAGTTGTCCAATTTGGTGGCTGTTGATGTTTCTGGAACTGATGTGAGTCCAAATGCAAGGTCTAGGTTTCTCCCATTGTCGAATGAGTTTTGAATTGCGAGAGGGAGGAAGAAGAGGTGAGAGTGCTTCAGGAGTGTGAATGGTTGGATTTAACAAATCAAACAAACAAAGTCTAGATTTAAGAATTTTAGAGTTTATAGCATCACTCGTTTAATAAAATTGAAAGCTAAGAC